TAACTGATCTGTAAAATGTGTTGTCTTTAAACTCAGGGGAAGATTCATCAGTGTTTCTAAGAAAATCAGTTTGCATAGGGGTGTCACAGGTTTTGACATTATTTAAGTTACATTTGTTTAGGAGTTCGATGATTTTATCTTTCTGTGTAAGTTTGAATCCCCTTTTAGTTTTGTTAATTTGCACACCAAGGTATTTATTCACTTTACCCAGAGATTTCAGTGAGAAGTGTTCATTTAACTTATTTACAAAGATTTCCCTGCTCTCTTTATGCTTTCCAATGTATAAAATATCGTCCACGTAAATTAATACAAATTCAATATGATCATTACTCTTTTTTACAAAGAAACAATTATCAGCAGTGGTGGCGTTGAAATCCATGGTCTTAAGTACTTTTACCAAGCAATCGTACCATCTTTTGCCGGATTGCTTTAATCCGTACAGACTCTTATTTAATAACCAAATTTCGTTCTTATTAGTGTATTGACTGTGTGGTGCTCTTACATATATTTCCTTATCTAATTTTGCATGTAAGTATGCGGTCTGTATGTCATATTGGAATACGTCCAGATTGAGTGCAGATGCTACTACAAGGGCTGTTTTGACACTCTCTGTTCTCACTGTGGGTGAATATGTATCAGTATAGTCTTCTGGATATTTTTGTGCATAGCCTTGTGCAACTAGTCTAGCCTTGTATAAGGTATTGCCTCCTTCTAAGTTCTTAATTTTATAAATCCACCTGGTACCTATAATTGTTTTATCCTTAGGTGCGATCGCAGGTGTGAATACATTTAATCCTTGTAAACTTTCCATCTCTTTTTCCATAGCTAGTTCCCATTTTTCTCTTTCTTCATGTGGAAGTTTCAATACTTCTTCATATGTATTAGGTGTTATTTGTTCTCCATTCATATGCATTATGTAATCTTTGTATTTATTTGGTATTTGGTTTCTATTGTTTCTAATAGTTCTTTCAGGCTTGCTATGGTTATCATGCAAATATCTAGCTTCCTTTTTTGTTAATGTGTCTGTCTTTATTTTATGCTGACTATTAGTCCAAGTTTTGGTTTTGTTCTTACTTTTGTTAATATTTTGATTTTCTGTTGTTCCTTCCTCGCAAGATATCGTATCTTTACATTTATTAGGAAATATTTCATTAAGGTGCAATTTTGACCAATTGGCCTGTTCATGGAACACAGCTGTTCTGGATACTATAAATTTGTTATTACTATCAATAAATCTGTACCCTTTGGTTCCAGTTTCGTATCCCATGAATCTTAATCTCCTGGATACGTTTTCTCCCTTTCTCCTCAATTGTTTAGGTATGTGTACGTCTGCAGTGACTCCAAATATGTGCATGTGTGATAATTTGGGTTTTCTATTGTACATCACCTCATATGGTGTCTTATTCACAATACTGGACCAGGTTCTATTTTGAGTGTAATTCGAATAATGTAATGCCTCTGACCAAAATTGTTTGCCTAAACCAGCATCCTCTAATGTGCACCTAATCATGGTTTGTAGTGTGGAATTTTTCCTCTCTGCAACTCCATTTTGAAATGCAGAAAAAGGATTGGACGTGAAATGTAACATTCCTCTATCCTTTAACCATTGGGAGAATTCTTTAGACATGAACTCACATCCCCTATCTGTCATAATTTGCTTTATTCTGATATTATGTTGTGTTTCTATACGTTTGTAGAATTCCTTAAATTTCTGAAATGTTTCATCCTTGTGCTTTAATGTGTAAACAAAACCATATCGGCTGTAGTCATCCACTATTGTTAGGAAGTAACGTTTTCTATAGGTAATTGAGGGACTTAATGGACCAACTAAGTCCATATGTACCAAATCAAAAATATTGTTAGTTGATCTGTTAGATTTTTTTGGTCTGGGACTGGTTTTTAGTTTGGTGGATTTACATACTGAGCATTCCAAATAATTTTCACAATTTTTTATTTTGACACCTTCTGCGTGTTCAGTCATTTTTTGTACTACAGGAAAGCTTGCATGTCCTAACTTCCTGTGTAAGATGTGAGCACACTCATCATGAATTGGTTTACCTATTTTTGGTTTCTTTTCCTTGTATGTATTTTTGTGATCATGAGTTATTCTACACTCATCATTGTCACTGTTACTGACATTTTCATCATCTGCTTCAATACAATCTTCCATATTTGAATCAATGTTATGTAAACATCTTTCTTTAGTTATCAGATAGGGTAGACCTCCTTTTATCATTACAGTACCTACATTTGTTTTGTTCTTTTCTATAGTTGCTTTCCCTTTTGAGAAAACTATATTGATATCAGATTCTCTGCTTAATTTTATGGCACTTAGTATATTGTGAGGTATTTCTGGAATTAATAATACCCCCTCTATTTTCCCTAGACCAGGCAAGGTCACATTTCCTTTGCCTAGTACTTGAACCTTTTCTTGATTAGCTACCTTTATCACAAACTTATCTTCTATAAATGAAGATAATATACTTTTGTTGTTGGTGGTGTGATTTGTTGCACCAGAATCAATAAGCCAATTGTTATTCTCATCCTGCTGTGTTCTGGTGCTGTCTTGTTTATTTAGCCCATTCAGTGACCCAGATTTCCTCTCTTTTGAATTTTCTCTACCCCCTCTACCTTCTTTGTAATTTGGTGGACTTCTATATTTGTGTCTATCTGTGGAAGATTGTCTGTAATTATATTTGCTCCTATATTCTGGCCTATGTCTCTCTCTTGAGACTTTGGGACAGTCTCTTCTACTATGTTCTCTGGATCCACAATTGTAGCATCTAAAGGCCTCATTATGTTTATCTTGAAAGACTACTTTCCTAAAAGGTTTGTGGTCTGTTTGGTTACTGGATCGATTTTTTCTTGAATTGTCTTCTGCTATCTATTTGTTAGATAGACTTTCTATGGATAAATATCCCAAATTAATGGTATCTAAGTGTGACATAAAGCTATCCCATGATGGATCAAGTGAATTGATAATAACACTTTTCATTGTTTGATCTGAAATCACTTCCCCCCTCAATTGTAGCTCAGCTCTTATTTTGTTTAGATTTATCAAATGCTCACTTATAGAAACCCCTGGTTTTACTCTAGAGGAAAAGAAATCCTTAGACATTCTTGTGGTTGTAGCTACGCTATCGCTGTGAAATAGATTAAACATGCATTGAATTATTTCTGATACAGTTAGGTTTGGTTTGATGCTATGATACATTGCAGGAGACACGCTAGATATTATTATGAAAAATGCTCTATGATGTAAACAATCTATTTTTAAAGTCCAAGGTCTTCTTGGAGGGCTAGTTATAAAGAATAGTAAATTTTCTTTCATGAAAATAACCTGAAGCTGTTGATACCACTCTTGTAAATTAATGCCATCAATTCTAAGTTTTGGGAAGTCACTGGGTAAGTTACCTACATTATTCTGTCCATTACTTACAACCTGGGGCAGTCCGTGATCTCTCAAGTGCAGGAAATTACAGAACGGCATTGGGATGCTTGCAATGAGTCTGCGCGGTTCTCTGGCCAGTTCAAGTCCTTCTGGGTCGTCTACGTAGTTTCGCACATGCGCGTTGCTCATTTCTTCTTTGGTGGCGTCGTGGAAGGTTCTCTCCCTTTCAGCTCTCTCGATCCGCTCCTCCTCAGATGAGTCGGTCTCTGGCTCGGTTTTTGGGGTTCTGGTGGTGGCGACGGTTCTTTTCTTCTTTTTGTGTGCGTTGGTATTCGATCTTGTCTGTGGTGTAGGGCGAAATCGGCATGGCTCTCTGGGCTCGGGCGTCGTCGCTTTCGAAGTCAGGATGGGAGCGTGCAGGTCTTGAGTCGCCGGTTTGATTTCTTGCTTCTTCGTAGATGTCTTGGTAATTTTCAGTCTTGGCCCAAAAGCAGCAAAAAGTGTTTTCATTGCTGATTTTACTTGAGATTTTGTTAAATCGTCTTCACTTTCTGATTTTGGATCATCTGAAGAGTTTGAGACTTCTTTCTCACTTTCTTCGTCTGATAGTGTTTTTCGCGCCAGAAATTTTGAACTGAGCGTTTTGATTGGCTCTGCTCCATTCTCTTTTGAAGTTCGTTGAAACCAAGATGGCTGCCATTCAAAATTTCGCGCGGGATCACATCTTTTCTTTTTAACAACTATTTTCTCAGTAGTCATCTCACTTACGGTTTTTTGATCTTTGGGTTTTTCTTTAATGACGTTTTTCTCTCTCGCTGCTCCGCTGTTCTTCAGCATCTCCTGGAGGTCCGCGATGAGACTTTCATCATTCTTTTGGCTTTTTAGTATCTTTAATATCTCTGACCTGAGTTCGTTATTTTCTATTTCGATTTCTTTCTGGTCATTATTTTCACTCATTAGTTCTTCTTCTTCAGTGGTGTATTCTTCGGATTCTCTCGAAATCGCATTGGTGGATTCGTTGATCATCTCTTGATCAGTTTCTATTTCTTTGCTGTAGGCCCTGGTGTTGGGCCTATCTTTCTTGGACATTTTTAATTACTTATTGAGTCAATTAACCATCCTCTGCTACCAGATTGTTGCAATATTTTCAGGATCAGACTCAATAAAGATAATAGGAGTTAGAGCTTTAAATATATTTCTTTTTAATTATGATAGGCATTCTATATTCACTGAATATTCAAGGTAGAAGCAATGAGAATGGTGAGGGTGGCTCCTTATATATACAAGGGGTGGAGCTAGGAATGGGAGTGGTAAGTTATGAATACATTAAAGTCCAAAGAATAAGTTAACCTCTGATGTTCCATAATATACATTATTTACACATTGGAGAATAAGGCATTTACATCTGACAATTCTGAATATCATTTTATTACTTTACTGGATTATTGTATTGTGCATCTTGTCTTTTTATTTCCTGGGCTTTTAAAATATGTGGCTGATTGCAAATGTAGTGATATATAGTTACATTGTGGTTACATTTCTAGAATATTTTCTAGAAAAACTGATATTCATATTTTAATTGAATAACTTTTTTGTTTTGTTTTCACAGGTTTCTGCACTATAAGTGCCTTATGTAGTCATTGTACAGCGACAACTTTGTTGTTCTCATGATCATCTCTTGCAGCTAGGTATTGGCTTTAACCTTACAAATCAACTGTAGTAGCTGCTTCCTGTATATCTGATTCCAGCATTTATAAAACGTGAGAAAAAATATTGAACTAAACAAGAAGACTGCTGAATCTGTAGCTTTTCCTACCTAATTAACACCAACAAAGAGGATACTACAGCCTAAAATGTATAAAAGAATGCCATTGTATGACAACAAAGTTTTTTTCCTAGTAGCATGAACGTTGGCCAGAAATGCTACTGAGCATGATTTTTTTGCAGACAAAAGTGTACAAATGGCATATATTGGTTGATAACTACAATGTTCACTGATAATAGCTGCTTTGTATGCATTGGATTTTCTTAAGCTACGCCCGGTTTTATTGAAAGGAACTTCTTGGCTTTCTGGAGTTTTTAAACAGAGGCTATTTCATTAACAACTCACAAAATTGAAAGCAGTTTTACATCATGGCTTCAATTGTTGCTCCAGTGAGAGACACAAAATGGCTGACGCTAGAAGTGTGCAGGCAGTTTCAGAGAGGGACTTGTTCGCGTTCTGATGAGGAATGTAAATTTGCACATCCATCCAAAAGCTGCCAAGTTGAAAGTGGAAGAGTAATTGCCTGCTTTGATTCCCTAAAGGTAAGAATGCATGCATTAGAAGGAGATATTGTAAACATATTCTTGTATTGAGCTCTGGTTCTGATCCCTGAATGGGTTACATCCAGTCAGTTTTCTCAACAATGGTATGGAACTGGTTTGCTATTGTTTTTTCCCAAGATGTTTCGTAGCTTCCTGGACTAGGAATTCCTTGTTTCTATTCCATCCCATCTCCAACTGAGCCTGGCTCAGTTTAGTTTCCAAATCTAAATTAAGTTGTAGATGAGGCCACTTACTGAGGATAGTAAGATTCCTACAGCAAATAGATTACTGTTTGTTTGTAATTGTTCATATATTTTTATGAGTAACTCAGTCAATGCATTACTGATTAGTAAATGTTGGTCAAAGAGTAGAACAAGGCAACCTGAATTCTAGTCCTGCTTTAGGCATGGAAGTCAGCTGGAAGACTTAGAGCTAGTACCTCCTTCTCAGCCCTAAGAAGACAGTGGCAAATTACTTCTAAAAATGTTGCCAAGAAGACTGCATAGACTTTCCCAGTAGTTGCCAGAGATCAAGACTGATGCAAAGCCTTGCTTTATATTCACATAACACACGTAACAGATGCTGTGCTTTATATTGTCTTAGTCTCACAGAATTATTAGGAACTCTCTGTGTTCAGATCTTAGATCCCTCTTCCGGCCACAAGAGAATATATCTCATCGGCTACAATTGAATTCCTGCCTAAATTTATCATTAGATATATTATTGATATAAGTAAATCTTAGATTCATTCAATGAATTATGATGGATTATGGAACATCTGCCTGTACAATGGAAGTAAAAATTGTTGGTTCATAGCACTGGTATATAAATATGAAATTGTTGCCAGGTATATGTGAGAAGATACGCTCGTCCAAAAGTTACAGCTATTATTTCATTTCCAATTAAGTGAAACCTTTCAATTTTGCAATTTTAATCTAGAAATTTACTAATTGTTTCCTGCTTGAGAGATGACATTACTTATTATTTGTTGATGACAATAGGGGGAGAAGAAGTATCTGCCATCTCCCAGGAAGTAATTCTTTAGAGCAGTGGTTCTCAACCAGGAGTGAAATCCAGCAGGTTCTGACAGGTTCTGGAGAACCAGTAGTGGAAATTTTGAGCAGTTCAGAGAACTGGTAGCAGAAATTTTGAGCAGTTTGGAGAACCGAGAAATACCACCTCTGGCTGGCCCCAGAGTGGGGTGGGAATGGAGATTTTGCAGCATCCTTCCCCTGGAGTGGGGTGGGAATGGAGATTTTGCAGTATCCTTCCCTGCCACCAAGCCACACCCATCAAGCCACACCACTCCCACCAAGCCAAACCCACAGAACCAGTAGTAAAAAAATTTGGATTTCACCACTGCTGTCAACCTGTGTTCAGCAGATTCCTGGGGAGGGGGAGCACAGTGTCACAGGGTCTGCAAAGGCTTGAAGAAATGTTATGATTTAAAAATTGAGTTACTGTATTTTTCAGAGTATAAGATGCTCTGGAGTATAAGATGCAACTTAGTTTTTGGGGACGAAAATAAGAAAAAAAAATCTGCCTCTGCCTACCAGCATCCATTGGTATTCATCTGACTAGTGCCCTGTAAGTGTGTGAGAGAGTTGAGGGCTGTTTGGAAACTGAAACAGTATTTACTGTGTGAGCAACAAGGAGACAGTTTGGAGCCTGGGTGTGGCTTAGCTCTGAGTCTGTGCTAAACTCTAAACTAGTCTGCTGCTCAAAACTGAAACTGAAATGCCTCTTCTCTGCTTGTGTTTTGCTTGTATTTACTACCATGTTGGAAAACCTGCTTTTGATATTGTATATTTACTTCATGTGTTATATTATATATAAAGAGAAGTTATTGAATCCTGCTGAATCAGTTACCTGTATGTGTTTTCTGGATGTGATTGCTACTACAAAATCTGACATGTCTTTGCAGCAAATAGCAAACACCCAGGTCAGCTTCAGCACATTATTGCAGCCTGATTCAGCACGAGCAGCTGATTGGCAGGTGGATCGGCCTCCCGGAATACCCCCAATCAGCTGTTCCAAGCTGCAGGGATTGCCACAGACCATCATCGCCTCTGTGCCTCACATTTTTGGTTACATCCGGTGTATTAGACGCACCCAAATTTCCACCCTCTTTTGGGGGGGAGGAGTGCATCTTATACTCCAAAAAATATGGTAAGTCTTGGGGGTCCATGGCCATGATCTAAATACACAAAAGGTATTTAAATGTGGTCAAAGATGAAGTAGAGGTTGAGAACCACCGTTTAGAGATACAGAGTTGGTTATCCATAAAAGATAGTTTCGACATAATCAGGTTCCAGACTGCAGACATTAATAAAAAACCCTGATTACTGGGTACACAGATTTTTGATTCAACCTATTCTAGAATCCACTACAGTAGCTGGTTTATTTTTAGGCAAAGTTGTTACTGGAGCTATTGTTACTGTTTGTTGTATATAAAAGATTTTTATTTTGTCTTTGTCTTTGAACAGTTGCTTCTGTAGATTAGATACTTATATAAAAACTCCTTCAACTCCAGACCTGATGATATGTTTTCTTGGCAACAACACAGAAATGGTTTGCCTTTATCTTCTAGGACAAGGGGATCAAACTCATCACGTCATGTGATGTTTCGTGATGCTTTTCCCATTCGTGGAGCCGGGGTGGGCGTGGCCTGCGTCCGACGCATCTGGCCTGCGGACCACCAGTTTGACACCCCTGTTCTAGGAGATTCAGCAAATTGTTTCATAAAAATGCATTCCATAAGATTACTCATAAATGAGAGGATGTCCATTATCTGGTAATTGTTATTTCAATATACTTTATAGTTAACATATTCAATATAGAAATAATAACTTTTTTGGGAAAAGATATAAAGAGAGGGGAAGAGAGGGAGAGGGGGAGAGAATGAGAATCTTTTGGATTTTGTTTATGGTTGCTATTAATCAATAACACCCTCTACATATTTTTGTATAATTTCTGATTTTATGTTACCAAATAAAATAATTTATATTAATGTGGGTTTTGTTCCTTGTTTACTGTCAAGTCAGTTTTGTCTTCTGGTGAGTGCTTGGAAAAATCCCTGCAGTTTTCTATGCAAGATTTTGGGAAGTGGTTTGCTGTTGCCTTTTTCTTACTAGGTCTAAATCTCTAAGAGGTGGATGAAAGCTACTCAGCTGCCTTTGTGCTTACAGCAGAACTAGAAATTCTGGTTTCTACCATGATATCTTATCCACTGCACCAAATCGCTGTCTATATTAAAATCAGTTATATTAAAACAATTTTCTAGTTTTTAATCATCTACTAAAATATTTAGACAATTAAAAAACCAGACATTTACATTTTCAAACACTAAGATAAACATATTGTTTTTAGTAAACACGAGTAGCCCCCTTTTAGATTTAAATAATTGTAGTGCACCCTCTTTCTATACCATCAAAAGGGTTTGATAAAATTTGCAAGGATTTAAACAACACAATTTTTTCTAGTTAGAGATGTAAAACATGATTTAGCCAAATACACATTTAGTCTAGTTTTATAACTTATACATGTGCACATAGATCAATAATATAATCCAAACAGAACTGTACAATTATTGTTTGGTTGCAATCTTTGTCCTTAGCCAGTTTAAGAGATCTTCTAGTTCAAGGGCATCAAACTCAAGGCCCGGAGGCCAGATCTGGCCCGTGGGGTGCTTAGATCTGGCTCACAGGGTCACTCTGGAAACAGTGAAGGACCGGCCCGCAGTGCCTCTGCCTGTGAAAAAGGAGCTCCGGAGGGCTGCATGTGGCCTTCCTGAGCTCCGTTTTCGCTGGCAGAGAGTTGCAGGAAGTCATCACAGCCGAAAATGGAGGTTGCGAAGTTCGTGGGTGGCACTCCCAAGCTCCGTTTTCGCTGGCAGAGGGTTGCAGAAAGCTTTGCAGCTGAAACGGAGCTTGGGAGCCCGTTTTCGTTGGCAGAGCGCTTGGGCTACCACAGGCGCTCCTGACACAAGTGACGTCAAGCTGGTCACACACCCTTGGCCACACACACCCCGCCCCCCTCAAGGTCAAACACAACCTTGATGCGACCCTCAATGAAATCGAGTTTGACAATCCTGTTCTAGTTTATCAAGAGGGTGAGCTTCTCAGTCCTTTAGAAAACAAAACAGGACATGAAAAGCAATTGTCAACTAATAGTGATAGTCCTTGACTTACAAGAGTTCATTTAGTGACCACTCAAAGTTACAACAGCACTGAAAAGAGTGACTTACGACCATTTTTCACAATTATGACTTGCAGCATCTCCATGGTCACCTATCAAAACTCAGATGCTTGGCAATGGGTTCATATTTACGACTGTTTCAGTGTCCCCGAGGTCATGTGATCCCCTTTTGCGACCTTCTGACAAGCAAACTCAATGGGGAAGCCAGATTCACTCAATACTGTTGCTAATTTAACAACTGCAGGGATTCACATAACAACTGGGGCAAGAAAAATCGTAAAATGGAGAAAAGCTCCCTTAATAAATCTCTCAGTTAGCAACATAAATTTGGGGCTCAGTTGTGGTCATATGTTGAAGACTACCTGTATTTTTCAGATTGAATATTAATGCAGTTTTAATATACATATAACAAATGTTAAAAATGGAGAAATTGATCTTCCATTTCTTTGTAATTGAACCCTGTACATATATTAATCCAGTTTATCTTACATTAAATGAACTTGGCCAATTTAACTTATATGGAAGATCTCCAGGGATTGCTAAGGCTGTAGCCTAGTGTAAGTTTAAAAAAATGTCCTGGAAAAGGGCAATAGAAAACCAGTTTGGTATTATTACCAAGAAATTCATTTATATCCATGAAACCACTAGCAAATGAGATTAATTAGAAATAATTGTATATTGCACTAAGATTTTATAACTCATTCAGCAATCTTATTTAGCTCTCCAAGCTAATTAAGCTAAACTCAGTTGCGGCATTATTTTTTAAATGAACAATCACGTAGTGATTCACTGAACAACTGTGG